TTGCTGTAACTTCTGTGTTTGACTTAAATTCTCTGTATTTAGCTACATTTGTGGTGATTTATAAATTATACAGCCTCTGTACATGTTACTTAAGTAATGTTTTTGTGAAATCAACCGTTTATTTTTGTATACTCCTGATTTAGACTTAGAATTTGAGCTATCACATTATTTAGTTATTGCATATAAATTTGTACATGAGGGTGGGCCTTGCTGTGGCCGTAATGTTGCTCCTCTGTGACCCAAGGGTTTGAGTCACGAAAACAGTCGTTGTGCACATACATTTGACCCTCCTCAAACCCCACTATACTGGGAGTCTTGTGCACTTGATCGTTATATAAATTTTTACATATTATCTACACAATGTGCGCCTTGCGCCTTGTCCAGGTGATCTTGGTGGCTTAGTGCACTTTACGCTTTTAACAACATTGTTTGCTGCATAGTTACAATCATCGTATGACTTGGTGAATGGGATTTTCCTTCACAATGGCAGGTTAGATGTAAGGTTATTGCAAATCATTTTGACAGTTGGTAGATAGAAGATAGACATGAACTTAAGATTGAACGCATCATATGGGGAGGATTAACACCATTGGCTAATTCTTCTCTCTAAAAATTAGCTACATGTTTGCTTGATTCTTTTGGAACCAAATGGGATGTACCAGATATCTGTCCCCTTGTGCACTGGGGAGTGAGGACAACATTAAAAACTGAGCGACTTAATTTTGAACACAAATTATTAGTAGTTATTCAATTTTGGTGTGGCATGGAAATCTTTTGTATTTCTATTTTCTTTTATAAAGCCTATATATATATATGCTGGTTCACAGGGACGGGTTTACACTGAGTATGTTTAAAATTTTAAGATTTTTTAAAATTTGCCCCCACTAAAATATTTTTAAAATTTATGAGCACTTTTATACTTGAATAATACATTTTAGATCTAAAAAAATTGACCTAAAAATGTATTAAGTGATGTAGTTTAATGAAAAATTCCAAGAATTCCAACTATAACAACGATAAATCTACAATACCAACAAGAGATATTGTACTACAAAATTAAAATTTTAATGGTTAAGTTAGAACTTTTAATAAATAAGTTATCACTCTTTGAGGTTATTCGATCAATTACAAATGTCATGATCAATTATAAATATTGCAATGGATCATAAGATGTTATGATGATCATGAATAGTCTTTAAAATGTTTACCTTTACTTTTGAAACATGTATTTTTTGTGGTCAATCATTTTTGAGTTATAACTCAATCTTGAAAAGCTGTAACTTGACCTAAATTGTTTCATCTTTCACCATGATATCTCCTTTGATACCATTAGGATAGTAATATTGAGAACGTTTAATCTGTCAAGTCATTATGCTACTATATAACATCACTCTTTATATTTTAAAAAAATAGGAGGAATTTTTTTTTCATAAATTCCTTTTATAAATTTGAATCTCAATCAAGCATGACTAATTAGAATTTAATCTACAAGTCAGAAAGAGAAGAGAATACATGCACATACCATACAAAAGATCTGATTTTTTTCAATTTGCTATAGTTGTCATGAATGTCTTATGGAATTGCACTTCTATATTTCAATTCTAGAGTTAATGGAAATTTATTAAATTATTTTTGATTGACCTCTTGAAATTCAAGTTTGAGTGTTTTGTAATGGATTAAATTTTTCTTTCATATTGTTATAACTAAATATTTCTATATTTAAAATTTGGCTTTTATAAATCATATTTGAAATACCTATATTGATTGATTGGTTTTCAGTATTGAATCTATTGACATAGGAACATATTTGTGATAAATTGAATAGCTTTAATGTTATGATTTTAATATAATAATTAGTTATTATTTGCCCCCACTGCACATAAATTCTAGCTCCGCTCCTGCTGGTTGGGATATGTCTATCTTCTTCCTGCCACATTGAATTGCCTTGCATTATCAATTATAACATCCGAAAAAAGTATGATGTATGCTTCTTGAGGTATCTATTAGCTCTATAATTAATCACGCTTAATTGCTTAGTGTAAACTAAAACTCGTTTGTGGGTGTGTTTTCTGAACTGTTTTACTTGAGTAATTGTTTTAGAAAATACTATTGTTCAATTCTTGCAATTTGAAACTATTAATTTGTTGATTGCAGACTGTACCAGTTAATCCTAAACCTTTCTTGAACAATTTGACTGGAAAGCCTGTCATGGTAAAACTCAAGTGGGGAATGGAGTACAAAGGTGTGTTCTTCCAAAAGGAACCATATTTTTCCATTTTTAATTGATTTTCTCATCCTAATTTTTGTATTTTGAAACCCCCTAGATATTTATGTTTTATGTGAAGACTTGTGCATGATTCCAATATTCCCTTTTTGATTTTCATTTCAGGTTATCTGGTCTCTGTGGATTCATACATGAACTTGCAGGTACCACTGTAAATCCATTTTTCACGCATGTGTGAATATCTACACGCCCACCTATTTCTTCATGCTCAAGTGCACTGTCAACCTTGAATCAGGGATATTGAATAGCTTCTTAAGATCTTAGTAGTGAAATACACTCGAAGCATTTTCCTATTGAGAAATAGTGTAAATGATCCTTATATAAGCAATTTGTATATACATATATATATGTTATATTTTAGAACTCATTATACTTGGTTTATAAATTTAATTCAATTGTCCTTCCTATGTAATTAATGCATTCTGCTGATGGTTGGAATCAGGAATTGTTATTTTGAGCTATTTTCAACTTTCTATTCATTTTGTCAGTTTTTATGGTTGCCTTTTTGTGAACAATGTGTACTTATCTGCAGTTGGCTAATGCTGAAGAATATATTGATGGGCAGTTCACTGGAAGTCTTGGAGAGATATTGATCAGGTATTGTCTAATTGATTTCTGTCCTGAATTATAATATGCAAAGAATCCTTTCATTTTTTTCCCATTAAAATAGATATGTATATAAATTTGTATTGGGATGTTTGTCAGTATTTGAAGGGTATAAATTGGTGGAGACCTAAAATGTGTCAATGGAGGTTTGCAGAATTATACATGCTTCCCTGAATACATAATTGGATAAAGAAATTCTACTTTTTTTCATTCTGTATTTTAAGAACTTCAGCACAAGTTATAAAACTGGGAGAAAAGGGTTGAGGAGGGAGTTTTGAATCTGGCTATCTTGATTCCCCTTGGTCACATCCTTGGATATGGTTAGGAGGAATGTATCTATCTATTTCCTTCGTGTAATTGCGAGGTTATTGAAGTGACTAGGATGCAAGACATGCTAAAATAAGAGTAATGTGAAAACAAGCACAGATTCTTCCAAGAGTCGGGCATGTTTGGTGGAGCAAAAATATTGTGGCTAAATTGCAGGATGTGGGTAGATTACTGTTGTTGCCGGATGTTTGCAGCATAGAATAGGTATGTTGGGCTGTTTACGAAATGTTATAGGTTATTGGAAGTTGTGTTGATGTGTGTCAACTGATAGAGCATCGAAGAGAAAATGTGATCCATTACACTAGAGGAATAAGAAAGGCAAATTTTTTTCAGATATTCAAGCTAAGTATGTCGATACTTATATTCGATATCATGAATGAATCCTGTGATATGCTAAAATTTTAACGAATGAATAATTGTGTTCTTGTCCATTATGATTGCATGTTGCACACTCAATAGGCGATGTGCACAAGTTTCACAGGAAAACAGATTGCCAAACAAAAGGGATTTCTCATCATCTTAGTTCTGGCCCCCCTTGAACGTGGTCATTTGCGGAGGTTATATAATCTCTTATCATGTCGTCTTCCATGAAACACTCAGAAAATTCCTCTTAAATTTTTCCTAGGTTAGAATAAGTTTAACATTATATTGAAGAGAGTGCATTGAGACAATTTATCACAGGTTTTCTGTATTTTTTAGGTTCCTTTCCTCCAAAAAAAGTAGCTTCAACTTCACATTAACAGTCTAATATTGAGTACTATGAATTGCCTAGTTTCAAGAATTACGCTGTTGAGGTGTGTGACTGCATCTTTTGTGTGTTGCATATGCAGATGTAACAATGTTCTCTATCTTCGCGGCGTACCAGAGGATGAAGAAATAGAAGAAGCTGATCAAGACTAGAACATGGATTTCGGAGTCCGCCTAAGCAAGGCCCTCCAAGCACAATCCTAGTTTCTGTTTTACTTTGTTTCTATTAATCCTCGGAGTTTCGGCTTGTATTTGTATAATTTCTAGAAGTATCGTGAGTTAATTGATGCACTTGCTGCCTCCGACTTGTAGTAGGCCCTGACCCACTATCATTTCATGTTACAGTTCAAGGAGGATGGTTGGTTGCTTTATTTTGAGAAACCTTTCATTATGTCCTACAAAGCCTTCTGATTTTGACAGAGTTTGCCTTCAATAGGCCTAATTCTCCGTATGATACATTTTTCTTCTTTTATGTTTGGTAGGATAGATGGAAATAAAAATGATTAATTTATTTTTTTTGGTAAGATAAAAAAATATTTTTTATTTTTTTTTTAAAGTGTAAATATATATTCTATTATTATATTTATATATGAAATTAGTGTATACATAATCTATATAATAAAACATGATGCAACTTGAATTTTATTCCCACTATATTTTTCTCCCTAAATTAACCCAATCCAAGCATCACATCCAACCCAAGCAACTGCTACCTGGCAAAACAGTTACTTCCCCAAAACTCTGCAACGTGCAAATAGGATTGTCAAAATTCGACACGATACGATTAATTGACACGAATTGATACAAATTAAGCGAGTTTGGGTGAAATTTTAATGGGTTTGGGTGATAAACGGGTTGACACGTCAAACACGTTTAATAAACGGGTTGTGTTCGGGTGAGACCTATCAAACAGTTTATCACATATTTACCCATTTAAATAAAATTAATATAATAATAAATTAATAATTATTTTAAAAATTAACAAGAAAAAAAGAAGTAAAAAAATCAATAAAAAAAAGAAATAAAGTAGTAGTTCAAAGACAAAAGAGAGGAGATGAATAACACTTCAAAAATAAAGGCAAATCAATGCCTTTTATTTTTGTCTCACAGCGGAAAATGAGGGGAGATGAGAAAAGTTGAGTTGCTTATAAAAAGCAATGACCTCTTGTTTTTTTTTTTTTAAGCCTTCAAATCTAATTGTTATGAGATTTGCCTAAAAATTCCTCTTTTTTGAGGTAAGTGCAATTGACAATAAAAAAAAGTTGAGTGTTAAAATTTGTTAATATAATTTTTTTAAAATTAAACGAGTTAAACGAGTCATGTCGTGTTACCCGTTTATTAAATGGGTTGTGTTCGTGTTGAGATTTTTTACTTATTTATTAAATGAGTTGTGTACGGGTTTATATATTTTTCATCTGCCACCTGTTTAACCCGACACGTTTGACACCCCTACCTGCAAAAAACGGCTAGGCTCTCTCTCAATCTCTCAAAGGCACCCTCTTAATCATTCTCTGTTTTTCAAGTAGTGTTCTGTATCTGTTTATTTGCTTGGACTGCATTTAACATTTAGCATTTGCTTGATTTGTCATTGATCATATAGTTTTGTTTGCTACTTAAGTTGACATTGATGGGTCATGTGCGTAGGTGACTTTTCTTGGGTTTGGATTAGGGACAAAGTGAGACTTTTGGGTTTTACAAATCATCACCCTTGATCATGGTCTCCTCCTTCCCCGGTTCCATTATGATACTCTGAGGTATTGGGCTTTTTCCAATTATTTAGGCTCTTTTCAAAAAGCTGCAACGACTTACCATATTTAGCCTAATTTGCATGTTCAGCATATTCAGGGATTCTATTCATGTTAAATTTGCCTATCATGCCTCCATGTTGGTATTTTGAGTTTCCTTTCTATTTTGCTGTTAAAGAATCCAGCTTTGCATTTTTCTTCATTTTTTTTTTGTCATGTGTACGAATTTTCTGATTGGTTGCTCAAAAAGTCGGTGAGCCTCTATTTTTCTTGGGCCTCTATTTTGTATTGTTCTCCATTTTTTTTAAAGGGAAGCTTAATTTAAAGAAGTTAGTAAAAGAGTTGGTTTGATTTGTGAAGTTTTTGTATTTTTTTTTCTGAATGTGTGAAAAAAGTAGGATACCATGAATATGTTGAATATGCAAATTAATATATGTGCTATATATAGTTGGTTTTACTCGGACTTTACTCTTCATTTAAAGAAAGAAAGTTCCTTTGCAATTATAGTGCATGGAGAATTAATGGCTTTCACAGAGGTGTAAATTGGAGAATCAATGATTATGAGAAAACCATATTTTTTTTCCTTTTAGATCTAAAGTATTGGTTTTTGTTATTATTTATGGTACATTTTTTTTCAGATTCTTGACTTTGCAAAATGACTTTGAGTTCCAAGTATGTGAAGCACTTTCGAGGAAACTTAGTTTTAGTTATATTTGCCAATGTTCTGACTTAGTTGTGTTGTGTAGAATGGAATTGAGGTCATTGAATAATAACTATGCACATTACCTAATTGTTGTTGTCCTTTTTTTTTTATTTTTGGTTTTCTTTAGTTGCATAGGTTTTATGAGAATTTTTTATTTTGAGTTTGTTGTACATATGATGGCTTTTTTAGGCAGTTGTATTGTGATTAGTTTTTGTGTGGTTGTCGTATATGTTTATTAATTTTTTGTTTGTTTAATTGCTATTTTTGTTATGTGTTTTTTTTTATAAGTATAGGAGATTGGTTTTTAAGTATTTTTTCATTTGTTGTGTCATACCTTAGGGAAAAAATGGTGTTTTTTTAGTGGGTTTGATAGAAAAAATGGCATTCGTTACTTATGTTGGACCTAGGCTTATTGTTCAATTAGCTTTAATTGTTGGTTTGAGCTTTAATTAGTTTAAATTATTATATGGTACTTATGCTTATTGTCCAATTTATGTATTTTTTCAGTGAACTTCACAACGGAAAGCGACCATCGGCAATGCAGCTTTAGGGACAACACAACTCAAGTGACGACAGTGAGCTCCTATGTATTTTGTCCAAACTTTGATATGTTGCTGTTATTTTAGTCCACTCTTCTATCCAAGTCTCTTTTTCTATATTTTAACGTGTGAGTTGAATTTTCATGACTTGGATTGATTTTTTAAATTCAGGTTGTGATTTTTGTAAAAAATAGGTTGTGATTGCATTGAAACCTGAATCTTCATGCCCCAAAGGTATTAGCATGCCCTTCAATTTAATGCTTATTGTATTCAATATTAGCACATTTCTTTTAAGACCTACATTAAGTTATTTTTACAAAGAAAGGTATGCAGCTTCAGCGACGGTACATAGTTGGATTTCAGTTTGCATATGGCATAATTTGATTATGATTATGAAATATATAAGTTTTGTAAATAGGTTGATATATTTGTGGCATCATATTTTCAGAGGATGCTCTGCCAAAAAATTGAAAGTTTCTTATAGAGTATCCACATTTTGATAGAGTAATCCACATTTTGACTATTTTTATTTCACTAAAGTCATTCATTGTTTGATTATTTCGTATTTAAAAACTATGTACAATGTTTTCCGGCATGTGATATAGAACGTGTTCAAGTTCAGTGTTTGATTATTTCGCTTTAAAATTCAATGTTCAATGTTTTTTAGTTGCATTGTGCCTTCAGGCACGGGTTATCCCTAATATATGTATATATCAAAAGATATATAGACAAATAAGATATATTTCAATACAAATAATTGACTTTTCATCCATTTTTTTTTCAATTTTGATGAGTTGGAAATAAAATTTATCTATCCACTTTTTCATCAAAAAAATTGTGTCAAATGGAACAAGTTTATATCAAAAATTTTTCATTCATACCTCATTCGTTTATGTAAAAAGGGTCTAACTATCATACTCATACACGACTCATTTATTAGACTGGTTACCTGATACAATCCATATGTCATCAGCTAAATAAAAGAATTAGATAGAGTATTTTGAGTTCACATGAAAAATTATCAACTTCCTATACATTATACATGTTTGATCTTTTTATTATAACAATAAATCATGTTTGAGCGAAAAAATAAATATTAAATTAGTACCAAATTCGAATGAATATGAGAGATGGGAGGCGTGAGATGAGACAGATGCTGAGATATCCAAAAAAAAATTTTTGAAATTTATAGTGTCACTGATAAGAGGTTGAAACGAGTTTATGAGTTAAACATGAAATCAGTTTATTTATTTCATAGGTTTGCCAAGTTAACCCGTTAACCATTCAAATCAGTTAAGACTACACTCAAACCTGCTAAATCTAAGTCGAGTTTGTGTCGATTTCACAAGTCGTGTCTAGGATTGTCAAGATTAAGTAGGAGGTGTCACTTGGGGGTGATTCTAGCCATGCAAAGTGATGATTACAATGTCAAAATCATCCTTAAGGTCTCTGGAAAGGATTAGAACAAGCAGAAACGAAGGGGGGGGAGAAAGAGAGAGAGAAAAAAAGAAAATTATGGAAGAAGGTTGAGCAAGAATTTTGGGTTTTTGATCCAGAGGGCCTCTGGCTGCAAACTCAATGTGGTAGACTCTATTTTGCATAAGGAATTCATTGGTATAGTTAGTTTAAGTTTCATGATGTGTGTATATATGAATTTGAGTTTAAAGTTTAACGTGAGTATGAATTTTCAAAATGGGTTTTATAATTAGACATGTTTTCTTGTTCAATTAAGTCTTGGATCTTGTTCTTGGGTTAGAGTATAGTAGTTCTTGAGGTATTTTAGCTATGACCATGGTGTGTAGAGGTGAGTTGATGAAACCCCGAGAACCTTGAATCTAAAAAATTGAATTCTTCAAAAATTTGTTTAACCTTGCATAGGGGGATTAGGTCATTTGAGGGGTCAAGGAATCCAAAAAATGTGTTAGAATTGCAAAAGGAGGTCATTTGCAAGTCTGGACATAGCTCTCCAATCTTAGTTCGGTTTGTACAACTATATATACGTCCCAAACCTTTAAGGAGAGGGAGAAAACACATTATAAACTAGATCTAGAGCCTCCGACTCCTCCTATTCTTCTTCTTCCCTTCTTTCTTTGTTTTCATGTTTATGGATTTTTAAAATCCATATCTAAAGCCAGGGGTAAATTTTTCAACAATGCATGGTATTTA